ACTTTTCATACACCACTTATCATACACCACTCATCATACACCACTCAACATACACCACTCATCAAACACCGCTCATCATACACCACTCATCATACACCACTTGTCATATACCACTTATCATACACCACTCATCATACATCACTCATCATACACCGCTGTTCATACACCACTCATCACACACCACTCATCAGACACCGCTCATCATGCACTACTCATCATCCAGTTAGCTCTAGTTTAGCTCTAGTTTCAATAGCTCTAGCTCCAGTTAGCTCCAGTTTCACTAGCTCTAGCTCCAGGTAGCTCTAGTTTCAATAGCTCATGTGCAGATTTCGCGGCAGGCACAGCACTTTGTGAACCTCCATGTATAGGTTTGGTGGCAGGCACAGCACTTTGTCAGCCTCCACGCGCAGATTTCCTGGCGGGCAATACAAAATGCGCTCTCGAGAGATAGCGGACGCACGAAATGCTGCGTTGTTCAATACAAGGGGCGGCTCCGAACCTGGCAAGTCAAGCTCTTGCGTCATTCTCGGATCATGGTCGGAATCGTCCCTCCATTGTGATTAGAGTGTTCTCTTGTTTCTTGCACCCTTTGTATTGAAAAACAGCATTTCGTGCGCCCGCTATCTCTCGAAAACGCATTTTGTATTGCGCTTGCCACGAAATCTGCACATGGAGGTTCACAAAATGCTGTGCCTGCCACCAAATCTATACATGGAGGTTCACAAAGTGCTGAAATCTGCGCATGGAGGTTCACAAAGTGCTGTGCCTGCCACGAAATCTACACATGGATGTTCACAAAGTGCTGCGCTTGCGACGAAATCTGCACACCTGCCACGAAATCTGCGCATGGAGGTTCACAAAGTGCTGCGCCCGCCACGAAATCTGCGCGTGGAGGTTCACAAAGTGCTGCGCCTGCCACGAAACCTGCACATGGAGGTTCACAATGTCACAAAGCGCTGTGCCGGGTCATTCTCGGATCATGGTCGGAATCGTCCCTCCAATGCGATTAGAGTTTTCATTTGTTTCTTGAAGCGCAGATTCCGTGGCAGGCAAAGCCCTTTGTGAACCTCCATGCGCAGATTTCGTGGCAGGTGCAGCACTTTGTGAACCTCCAGCTGCAGATTTCATGGCAGGCGCAGCACTTTGCGAACCTCCATGCGCAGATTTCGTGGCGGGCACAGCACTTTGTGAACCTCCATGCGCAGATTTCGTGGCAGGCGCAGCACTTTGATTTGTGAACCTCCACGCGCAGATTTGGTGGCAGGCGCAGCGCTTTGTGAACCTCCATGCGCAGATTTCGTGGCAAACACAGCGCTTTGTAAACCTCGAGGTGCAGATTTCGTGGAGAGTTCGTGGCAGGCACAGCACTTTGTGAACCTCAAGGCGCAGATTGCGTGGCAGTCACAGCACTTTGTGAACCTCCATGTGCAGATTTCGCGGCAGGCTCAATACAAAATGCGTTTTCGAGAGATAGCGGACGCACGAAATGCTATGTTTTTCAATAGAAAGGGTTGCTCCGAAGCTTGCAAGTCAAGCTTTGCGGAACGACGTGCGCAAGACGGTCTCGGGTCATTCTCGGATCATGGTCATGGTCGGAATCGCTCCTCCATTGCGCTTAGAGTGTTCACTTGTTTCTTGAAGTGCAGATTTCGTGGCAGGCGCAGCACTTTGTGAACCTCCACGCGCAGATTTCGTGGCAGGCACAGCACTTTGTGAACCTCGAGGCGCAGATTTCGTGGACTGCGGAGATGCTTTGGCCAAGGGCGCTCCGGCAGGCACAGCACTTTGTGAACCTCCATGCGCAGGCTGAGAACTGGTGACTTTGTAGTGCAACTTTTGTGCGCGGAGTAGGCTGGGGAGCTGGAGGCTGAGAACTGGCGACTTTGTAGTACAACTTTTGTACGCCGAGCAATCTGGCGACTGAGAACTGGCGACTTTATAGTACAACTGTAGTACGCGGAGGAACCTGGGGAGCTGGCAGCTGAGAACTGGCGACTTAGTAGTGCAACGTTCGCGCGCGGAGCAATCTGTGGAGCTGGAAGCTGAGAACTGGCGACTTTGTAGTACAAGTTTAGTACGCGGAGTACTTGGCGAGCTGGAAGCTGAGAACTGGCGACTTTGTAGTACAACTTTAGTATGCGGAGTATCTGGGGAGCTGGAAGATGAGAACTGGCGACTTTGTCAATGTAGTACAACTTTAGTACGCGGAGCAATCTGTGGAGCTGGAAGCTGAGAACTGGCGACTTTGTAGTACAACTTTAGTGCGCGGATGAGTCATCTCTCGCGGCTGAGTCATCCCTCGCGGCTGCACTTAACTTTCGATTGCACATGCCCAGTTGCTTCAGTTGCTTTAGCATAGACACAGCCCAGTACGCTGTTGCGAGCTGCTGATCCTACAGGGAGCACAGACCTTGCACAGGTGGCTCTGCGTTGGTCAAAAGTCCGCGCGCGCGTCTGACTGAGGGGCACAAGGGACACGCATGGTGGAAAGAACCAGGGCGCTCCTATAGGCCAATTTGTTCTTATAGGAAACTCCCGCCCCCGGCTTGCCCGGGAACTGCTTGTACTCTTCTGCTATGCGCGATAGCCTTTTCCCCAACCACGGGGTCTGAAACCTGGCCTCTTTCGACCTTTTCCTTTTCCTTTGCCTTTCCGGAATTTTCTGCCGCGGATTCTCCTTCTACGATAGCCTTGTCCATCAGCCTTCAACACAAGAAAATGATCTTCGTCGTACAGCGCCATGAAACCTTGTTCACCAGAAGTTTCATCGGTCACCCAGTAGCCTTCTTTGCCATCCATGGCGCCGTGTTCTTCGATGTAGTATGTGCGACGCCGACGACCGCTGGGGCGGTGTTGAAGCTGTGGATCGCTAACGCTGGTTCTACTTACTCACAGAAAAGTTGTAGAAACTGTGTCTTGACTGCCTGATACTCGTAATTTTCCATTGGAATATTTTGCGCCTTCATTGCTGATACTAGGCGTTCTTGCTGTTGCTCGGTCAGGTCTGCCAGCACAATGAATATCATGGCAATCAAATTCCCAGGAACTGGGAATGCGGCTTGGCGTTGTCTGGTCTACCTTCTGCATCTAGTGTTGCAATCTCGTTTCGCTGTGCTGCAGTCAGAGTGTTTGTGAATTCGACTGACTGTGGCGCTGGGAGGTCTCGGTAGAGGTCCATCCGTGCGTTTTGCAAACGTCTATGGTGATTTCAAAAGGCCAAGTAACCATCTCTCGAGAACCACGCCATTGTCGAAACAACTGCTCAGAAACACATGTTGATTATCTTTGATGAAGAAGGGACGTAGTGTCCTCTTCAAGTAGTCAACTCCATGATCTGGATCTGCGAGAAAACGGTTCTCTAGTATGCCTTCAGAGTGTGCGGCTGCACCTACAAGACTGTTCTTCAGGCTAGGACCATGTTTGCGAGGAGTCAATGTTGTCAGGTTCAACCAATCATCTATACAATCTTCGTACTCAAGCCAGACGTTAACCATCGAAAGCCGGTGCAATCTTCGGAGTCATCCTAAGTTGAGAGGTCTCGGGACCCTGTGCTGCGCACGCATCTGGTCTACGATGCCCTGCCGCTAGGGCGGCGTCTGGGCTTGCTGGCGCTTGTGCTTGATAATATGTAGCGCTACCATCTGGATAATGATCTGATTCATGGCCTTCTTCTGAACTCTCACTATCGCTCATTGTGCGCTAGCTGTCGCGGCTCTACTCGAACGAAGGTGCGCCGAAGCACGCCCGTTAGTTCGGGTCTTTCTGGAGCAACGAAGCTCCGCTACCACTTTGAGGGTGGAATCCCCCGCAGTGGAGCGGTGAACAACAGTATCAACCTGGATCGGCTTACAGACTAGCAAGTCCCACAAGAGCGTGCGAGCGAAGGCGAGCTAAGCGGCTTTTCTATCGCACAAAGTGTACCTTGAGCCAAATATTGGCAGTCGTATGCATTGAGTAAGAGCATAAATAATATGTGACCATCCATGAAGCAACAGCGAATTGGGTGCCCAAAAACAGGAAACAGGAGGTGTCTGTATTGAAAAATCAATTCCAAGGGCCGGGGTGAATTGAACTATCAATTATTAGATCCGGAGGGGCCCACACTTGCTTCGCAAGACAAACTCAAGGTATCCCCTGAAGGGCTACCTTTCGTGAAGAGGGATGGCCTTCAACCTACTAGCGATGCCCTCCAAATCCCAAGAGCGATGGCCTCCAACCTACTAGCGATAGAAAATAACTGTAACAGTTTGCATCTGGTTAAGTGACTTTAACCGAGTCATGCCAGTCTTGGCATCTTGCAGAGACTGCTGGCTCTGAATCACTGGTGTTCTTCAAGTCATGCATCCGCACCTGGGCAAATCATGCCAGGCACATTCTTCATTCTTTAAGAATGCTTTTGGTGTTCAATCACCGAAGATCTTTGAGTCTGTGTTGATCAATGAACTACTCTAGCGAGACCCTGAATGGACAAGTCCGCGACACCGCACTCCTGCGAGAAGGGCAAACTGTGAATCTTTGCTTCGAAGTCGTAGCATTGCACGGTGCGTTTGTATCAGGCTACATCAGCATGCGCAAACTCCGGCCTCCAAAAAGCTGGAAGACCCTTCGCCCAGTTCGGTTTGCCTCTCTACCTCACTTTAAGAATCTTTTAGGAGACTGCACTGACTACAGTGTGATTACAGCAAAGGCATCAAGTTGAGGTTTGTCACAGTTCACATGGGCAATCACTTGTTACTCCGCGGACCAACACTTTGGCTTCTGCACCACTTCTGAGCAGTGGACGTCACTCTCCCAAGGGAAAAGGCCAGGTGAAAACTCCTGGCAAAGTCCAATTAGGTTTAAAGCTGTATTCGTAACAAAGTATGCAAGTGTGCTCCTGGAAGAGCAGGTTGCCATGCATGACCTGCTGTTTGGAAAGGGGAAGTGCAACAAAGTTCGGAATGCATCACAGCTCGAGCTTTGTTTCCCACCTTCAGCCACATCATGCGACCTTCAGCCACATCAGTCTTCTTAGGACTTGAAGCGTCGCTACCCACAAGCTGCCTCGACCAACAGTATGTGGTGGTACTTTCTGTCCAGGGCCTGCTTCACTAGTCAATCTCTTCGGCCAACGGATTCACTCGCGAACTTCCTTCAGCGTTTCAACAGGCGTACTCCAGCAAGTGACTACCACAGAGAAGTCGTCATCACCTCCACAAAAGCAGACAGCTTCAAAAAGCTTGCGGCACCAAGAAGTGGAATGATTTCGCCAATGAATCGAGAAGTTGAGAGCATGGCAGTGGATGATGTGTTGGACTGGATGAAATCTCAGAACATGTTCTTCAACGCGCAAAAATCTAAAAGCACAAGATTGAACAAAGTAAAAATAAAAAGGAGTGGATACATTCTAAATAAGGCCACTTGAAAGTCACAAAAGCGTCATGTGACAAATCCGTAGACATCTTGGTTTCAGGCTCACTGAAGTGAGCTGGACTTGCGTAAGATGCCTGACTGAGGCAGCGGAAACACAATTTTGCGAGTGTGAAAACACGGGAACACGAAAGGAGGTCAAACCGAGTTCACCGTCGATGCGGAACGCTCTAGGTTTCCGTCTGCTGTTTCGGGGACCTTTTCTCACAAGGCCTAGTACAGGCGGCCACATGTTGTGGCTCAAGCGCGCTGGACAAGGGAGCGGCGCGGCGAGTGCGAATCTCGAACGCAGTCATCATCAAATGACTTCAACTCATGTCTATTGCTCAAATTCACACTGGTGGAAAAGTAAAAGGGTTTTGACCTTCGGTCAAGTTACCATCGGTCCTTCTGGACCTGCTTTTCACACATTTCGCAACTCTCAATGGCCGTTTGGCCGGATGCGGTGTGGAATGCTGGACACTGTGGATCTACATGGAACTTCGTTCCTCGTGGAGCCATGAAGATTTCCTTCGGGATCGGTGCTTCCCTGCAGTTCTGAACTCTTCGATGTTCTTGCTGCAGGACATGGTGTTGGCCTTGTAGGCTTTGGAGGGCTTGAACTGTGCGTTGGTATGAAGCATTTGCGAGTCGTGCTTCGGTGGTTGCTTCTCTCAAACCAACTTCATATTCTTCCATTCGATCATCTTGTCGATGAACTTCAGCTTCCAGGTAGTTGATCCTGTGCTGGAGCATTGCATTTGCTTCAATGTGTCCTTTCACTTCATTTTTCAATCGTTCATTCTCTTCACGAAGTCGGGTCGGCACCAGCTTCTGAAGTTGTTCTGTCGTCTGGGCGGAACTTTCGGTGGTTTCCACCTCATGACTTTCTTCACTTTCCATGTCCATCAAGTTCTGGGACTTCTCATCGTTCATCACCTTGCCGATGACATTCACAAGGGTCTTGAGCATGTTCATGAAAGCTTGAGAGGCACCAAAAAGGGCGAGTGCAGTAAACAGCATGAAAACATAGATGTTGTAGGTCTCGTTTGTCTCACCTGTTTCACTTGCTGCTTGTGCTACACTTGATGATCCCAAGATGATCATCATTGCCAATCCTCTTCGGGCTTCGGCTTTTGTCAATGCGTTGCGGCGTGCATTGTCATGTCGTTCTTTAGGACTTTTCTTCTTGGCAGCGGTGCAGCTCTGGTCGGACTGGAGGGTGAACATGTGTGTTCGTAGGCGGTCTGCCATGAGCTGCCTTGAAGCCACTTTGGTAAGGCCATCAGCCAGTTGAAACTCACTGGACATCCACTTCAGGAGACATCCTGTGGTGGTCATCTTCTCTTTGATCACCAAGGCCTCGATCTGGGTGCGTTTGTCCCCAGTCAACTGTGGTGCTTCGCTTTTAAGGCAGTCATATAGGGCTTTGGCATCGACCACAAGTGCACACGGTAGTCGACCAGTTCTCTCATCCACATTTGAGGTGGTGAATGAGCTGTTGACACATCCCTTCCAAAACAATTGGATGTACTCGAGGGAATCCATGGCGGCACTGCAAGCTTGAGACTCAGAATTCAAACTGCTTCTGCTGATTCGTGGCAGCTTGTATGATCTCCAGTCGAGGATGACATACTTGAAATCGCCACTCTTTTGCAGAACGTCCTTGTGGGACAGCAGGATGAAGTATCCTCCTTGGCTCAAGTGATCGGGGCGGACACCCCATGCAGCGTCACTGACAGCGGTTAAACATAGTTCATTCAAATCACCCAATCTTGTGAACTGTAGGGAGGCGTCCTTGTTGTTCTTTGCAAACCTGAGTGCTTTGTTTGCTGCTTTTGCTATGGACTCTGTTGCACCGTTGATGCTACCGCAAAGCAGGGAGATTGAAGCGCTCAAGTGCGGCATCGACTGTGTTGATGGCCATTGTAGTGCTCCCAACAATCCTCGGAGTGCTGACACTTCTTTTGGAGATAGTGGATCATGGTCTCCTTTTGGCGTTGTTGTCAAAGGTTTCACTCCAGGGATGTAGTCTTCCTGGTGCAATTGCCATGTTTGTTCATCAGTCTTCTTTAGTTTGCAACCACAGAACTCAAGTTGTTTGCCTTCTGCCTCTTCGCTCCAGTGCTTGAAGTCGAAGGTCTTGCGAAGATCACCTTTGACCTTTTGGTACATCGATGAACTTGGATCGCCTGCACCTAGCATGTCGTCAACGTGGAGGCCAATCAAACATACCAAGCGGTCATTCTCATCGAACAGTCGGAAGAGGCAACATTCGAGGGGATGAGGTGCAAATCCCAACTGTCGAAGCTTCCTGGTTGCAACTTTGTACCATTCACGTGGTGCGTCAGCTTGACCATAAAGCGGCTTCTTCAATTTCATCAACGCTCCACTCTCCAAGTTCAACATTTTGCAGGCATCATGAGGAAGCTTTGCCCACAACTGGCGAGATTGAGGATCGCCTTGGAGGAATGCTGTTGCAACATCGCTCACCCACTTTTCCCAATTTTCATTGCATGCGATGGCCAACAAAGTTTGGCGAGCTGTTCGGCGCAAAGTGGGACTGCTGGTTTCCAACTTTCCTTCAAGAAGGTCAGGGTCATTGAATCCTTGGAGGACGAGGCGTGCTTTTGCTCGTTGTTCACCTCCTGCTCCAGTGCGCCAAGCGAGAACCCATCTTGCTCGAAGTATGCGATCTGGAGCGACATTGTGTGGATGTAGTTCCACCTCCCAAACACCATTTTCGAAGATCGAGCTGAGTTCACTTTTCTTTCCTTCCACGAATGCGAGACGATCTTCCCAGGAGAGCTTCTTTTCATCAACATTGGTTGGTGTTGGCTTCTTCTTTGGTGCAGTGACTGCAGCCCAAATATGCCCACGGCATCGCAGCGTCCAGCGGGTGTTGAGCTTGTCCTTGAGATCACCAGCATAGGGCAGGTGTCGGCTTTGTGCTGCCTCCTTTGTGAGCGGGAAGAGAGTTTTGCCAACCCATTGATCCTTGCCAATTGAATAGGTCTCCTTGTTGTTCACAAAAACTTGGCGAGATCCATTTGGCAGGGTCAAAGCAGTCGTTGATTGAAGTTCTTCTGCTGCTACTGGAAGTGGTGCTTCTTCGGAAGTGAAGGTGGAGTTTCTGGACCACATATGGTTGCGAACAAGAAAGCCGTCTTCAAAACTCCAATAGTCTTCTGTTTCACCCAGCACGAACTCTCCGGTGGCCTTGTCGAACGTCCAGCCTTCCACCAAGTTGTTGAGGCTGTCGGTATTCATGGTGTCATCAAGGGCCAGGAGGTCGGTGTCAACTTGAAGATCTTCTTCTTCTGGTCTTCGGATCCTTTTGTTTCTATGCTCTTCTGCTGGCTCAGTGATGGGAACCACTGGATGAACTCGTCGAGCTTGTATGGTTTCTTGTTGGTCAAATCGACGACGACGTTCTTCAAAGGTTTCTTGAGAGCCGGCTGGTTGAGCATATAGTGGATCAAGTTCCCACTCCGGATCAGGATCTGGCTCTGCCACTGACGGTGGCACTCGTTGTTGTGGTTCATCGAGATCTTGATCTTCAGGAACTGGTGGAAGTTGACCTGGGTCCATTGGTACATCATGTTCTCCATCAGGATGTTCGAGAGGTTCATTGTGACCTGGTGATTCACTTTGACCATGAGGTTCGTTCGGACCTGGTGGTTCTGAAGCATCTCCTTGATTGAGAGGTGCTTGATGGTGTTCATTTTGAAGTGGTTCCAAGTCAATGTTTACCTCAGGAGCCAAGAGTTCTTCAGCCTCTGCGTGGTCAGGGTCCATGTCGTCTAGACTTTGGCGATTGGTTCTTTCGAGATCGATGATGCGGACGACACGTCGCTGTCGGAGTCCTTCCATTGCTTGGGTTGCACGCTCTGTGGAGCCGATAGAGCCTTGCAGGTTCGGAAGCTTCCTGACATGCTGCTTGCCAGCTCTCAACAACGAAGTTCCGTGTGCAATCCAGTATGTGTCAACCACATTGGTATCAGGATCTCGCTGAACAGCTAGAACCACTGCAGGACCACGCCATTGAATTGTGTGGAACCGATCATTGGATTCTCTCCAGTAGAGGCATCGTTCTCCAGGAGATAGGTCTTCGTTTTGGCCAGTGAACCTTCTCAGCAACGCTCTTCTGAGCTTGACATCAATCTCAGCTTTGGCGCATGCGGCGTGGGCACTTGCTCGTAGTTGAAGCTTCTTGTACAACCGTTCTTGTTCAGTCGTTTGTAGCTGAAGAGGTGAGGTGCGTTCATCACTCAGCAAACCAGGCACATTGGGTTGCCTGCCATGAGCCAGTTGACATGGTGTGTAGCCGTTGACAAAGGTGTTGTTGTTCAAAGAGGGGACAATCCAATTCAAGGCATCTTGGAGTCCAACAAGTCCTGTCAACTGATGCTCACGGATGAAAACTGCAAGACCTCTTCGAAGAAGTTGATGTCGTCGTTCAACAATGCTTGTTCTTGTATGGTCTTGTCCTGGCGAAATTCTCATTTCAATGCCATGTTCTTCAGCCCATTTCATTGAGTTGTCGCTTGCCCAACCGGTGGCCTCATCAACAAAGAGACGTTCAGGAGGGCCATGATGTCGGATCCAACCTCGTTCAAAGGCTTTTTGTAGTGATGGACCTTGCTCATCAGGAACGGTTCGGGCACTCATGAATCGAGTTGCTTCATCAACCATGACGAGGATGGGGATCTTCTTGCCCTTCCGCTTGGTGGCTCCGTCAGGATCCTCACTCACGAGGTCATACCACATCACATCAGCTTGTACGTGGGTGTTGAAGTTCTCGGCTCTGCTGAGATGAGCTGGAGCTGCACCTTTGCGGACTGCAAAGTTCTTGCAATATGGACACTCAAGATCTTCGGCTGCCTTGATGATCTTTTCACCACATCCACGTTGGCGAAGGAGAGAAACTAGAAGTTCTTTTCGTGGATGTCCAAGATTGCGATGAAGACGGAATGCTAATCTTGCTGCTTCCGATCCATGGGTAGTGGCCAGTTTTCGAAGAACACCAGTCAACTCTTGTTCATCGCCATCTCCAGCAGCAAAGGTCTGTTCTTCAAGTCCTTCAGGCTGAACGAGGGCATGTGCTATATGCTGTGCCATCTTGATGGGATAGTCCTCAGCCTTGTGGCATCTGTTGCTGCCTTCGAGGGTTTGGTGCATGTGATCACCACTGCATCTCTTGGACATTCGACGGACCATTGCCAACTTTGTTGTTTGAAGAGCTGTTGGCTTCTTGATGGGCATCTCTTCGTGATTGTCGTTCATCGTGGTTGCGCCATACTCACATTGATCAAAAATGACCTTGTAGCCAGGGAGGTTGGCGAAAGCTGGAGTTTTCCAGGACAGCGCGTGAGCTGGATGTTCGATGTGAGCATGTGAACCTCGGCGCACCTGTCCAAGATAAGCACGGCGGCAGAACTTGAGATGCTTTTCATGGTCTTCTTGTCGGCGAGCTTTGAGGTGAAGCCGATCGTCTTCTGTTTTGACGTTGATGTTCTGCATGGTGCTCCATAGTGTGCATTTTGGACTCAGCCACATTTCATCAGGCGCTTCTTCATCAGCTAGCTGCAGGAAGGCACGACGGTCGGCTGCTTTGTTGAAGTTCCAGCCATCTTCAAGTCCAAATCGTCGAACTTTGGCGCCAAGTCGTTGACATTCTTTGGTGACCTTGCCACGTCCGACATAGACTTCCCAGACCACTGGCTGTCGGTCAGGTTGGTGATCACGGGCATGAAGGATTTCACGTTGTAGCCGTCTTTCTTCCTTGCAGATCTGTTCCAGCACCATGTTCCAAAAACCGCGAAGTGACTCTTGGTTCTTTTCTTTCTCACCTTCATGAGGAGGTGATTCCAGGTTTTCAGCCGTAAAGACCGTGGAGGGCTTGAAGGTCTTCTCCAGGTTGCTCTTGATGCACTTGAAGCGACTCTGGGCCTTCATGTCTTCAATGAAGTCGTCGAAGCGAAGGATCTCATGGTGGTCATCCTCAGTTCGAAGGTCGAACTGGTGGTTATTGAACTGCATTGGACCAGCTTCTTTGCGAACTAGCCTCATGAGCATGGTGTTTTGGCGTCCTTTCTCAATTGGAAGCCAATCACTGCCAAGGATTTGCATCTTGTAGGCTCCGAAGTCGACAACTGCTTGAAGCCTTTCCATCACTGGTCTCCCAAGGAGGGGAGGTGTGGCTCCGAAGATGATGCATGCCTGAATGAAGCCTGCCTTGCCGTTGATGTAGGTGGGCACTGACAAAAGCCATCTTGCGTGACCACTGGCGTCTCCGCCAAACTTGAAGTGTTTGCTGCACTTCTTGAACTCCAGTCGTGAGAGATCGACGCCAAGGAGCTGCAACCAAGCCATGTAGCGAAGGATGTACTCCGTGCCGATCAGGAAGCTAGATGCTCCTTGATCCTGAATTGCCATCTCTGGAGGGACCAACCATTCATGCTCAGACACGAGGACATCTGAGCTGCTGTAGGCGTCTTCACACTCAAAGAACTCTTCACAGTCATAGAACTCGACTTGGACTGTGTCATTCACAAGGGTCATGACATTCTCATGAGGGGTGGCATTCTCACAAACCACGACATTCTCAGAGGCGGTGGCATTCTCACAAGCCATGACATTCTTTGGAGAGGTGTCATTCTCACAAGCCATGACATTCTCAAAAAGAACCATGCCAGTGAGGAGAGGATCTGATTCCTCCAAAGTTCTCTTCTTTGCTGAGGTCGGGGTCGTGCTAGAGCTTGCTGCCTTGCATTGCGAGGCGAAGTGTCCAGGCTTGCCACATCGGTGACACACCATTGCATCACGCGCACGAGCTTTTCCTTGTGGTCCTTTTCCTTGTGGTGCTTTGGACTTTGATTTCCCCTTTTTCCCGCGTCCTTTCGGACTCTTTCCACCTGAACTGCTGTTGGCGTTGGCCATGACGGGGAGCTGGTTCTTGTCGACCATAGCAACCACTGGATAGAAACCACGTGAGCGCTTGAGTTCAAGCACCCGTTGTTTGGCATCAGTGTAAGCTGCCATTGCCATGTCGTACTCTTCGGTGTCGAAGATCGTGTCCTCATCGGTGTGATGGAGGTATGCCAAATCTTCTGGGTCATCAACGAGGTCGTACTCCTGGTCATACCATTCATCAGCTTCGTAGAAAGCATCTTCATCGGGCTCATAGTCTTCTGTCCAGTCATCCTGTTCCCAAAGCTCATCGTCCTCAGCCATGTGGATGAGTTGGCGGGATTTCCATCGTCCTTGGAAGCTTTGGTTCTGAGCTCGTCGGACTGCAGGTTGGTGGACATGCTTGTAGTCTTGTCCGAGGATCATGTACATGGACTTCTCGATGTTGTTAAGGGACATGTCGGTGCCGGTCTGTGTGTAGATCATCTGTTGTTGATCTTTGCTCAAGCCAGCTTTCCTCAACAACAGCCAACCAGCGACCTGCTCGGGGAGCGATATCTTGTACTTTTGAAGTTCTCGAAGGGACTGCTGGCGCTCAGTGCAGAACTCAAGGAGCGACTGCCCAACTCGACGTTGCGTCTTGTAGAAGTACTTCTCGAATGCGTCAGGCATTTCAACCCGATCATCATACTGCCATTGGGCGTCCAGCCTCTGCAAAATGCTCTTGAGGCCATCGTCCTTCTCGAGGGCGTCGAGGTCCAGGTCCTCGCATTGGCGCCAGCTTGCACCTTCCAAGATCGACAGGACTGACAGACCTGTCTCATTTGCTCTTCCTTGGATCGCCTGGCGGCGGGCGAACAGCAGGATCCTCTTGCGCCACTCTCGGTAGCCGGTCATCGTGTTGTCGAAGCGCGGGATGTAGCTTCTTTCATCTTTTCCAAGGGTGGCCTTCTCGGCCGGCTCTTTCGCCTGCGAGCTTCCCTTCGGGGATCGAGACATGGCGGCAAATGGATCCGGAGCTGCTCTTTGGCAGCTCCGCTACCAATGTGAAAACACGGGAACACGAAAGGAGGTCAAACCGAGTTCACCGTCGATGCGGAACGCTCTAGGTTTCCGTCTGCTGTTTCGGGGACCTTTTCTCACAAGGCCTAGTACAGGCGGCCACATGTTGTGGCTCAAGCGCGCTGGACAAGGGAGCGGCGCGGCGAGTGCGAATCTCGAACGCAGTCATCATCAAATGACTTCAACTCATGTCTATTGCTCAAATTCACAGCGAGTCTTACAATTCTGCACGATTCATAGATATCAAATGATTCATAATGATATCATAATGATATCATATCCTATTCTGAGATCCCTGCCCACTCTATGTCTGTCATTTCTGCAGACACCAAGTGATCCAAAACGGTATGAAGGTTGGCCTTCACGCCATCCTGTCTCAACGGTCAAACTCGGCCCCTCTTCGTCAACTTTGTGTGATCCGACTGTGTCATTCTTGGGAACCAGAAGCTTGTGACTTTGTAACAAGGTTCCATAGTAGCAAAGGGCATCACTACTAGGAGCGAGGACGCTTCTAGGGGCTCCTGGCCGTACTACTAGTAACAAGGCCGCTACTAGGGGCTCCGTTTCTGTAGGCCTTTCAATAGCGAATGTCCCGCACTCGCCTCGCTGCGCAACTCCGTAAGCCTCTTACAAAACTCCTGCCTCAGTCAAAGGAAACAAACAACCAAAGGGGGACACTTAGTGAAGGAATCTCTCGTTGTCTTGAATTGTTCCTGCTACGTCTGCTACAAGTTTCGATGGTGCTGAGAATGCAGCAAACTGATGGTTGGCGAATTTTCTTCAGCCTATGAACTTTATGTTCCTCTGTAAATCCTCAACAAACCCCTTTTGCTCAAGCAGTGTTTGAATATTTTGTGCCTTTCGAGCGGACTCGGGCTCAAAGATGCTGACCATTGGCGCTGTCCTTGGCGAAATGCGCTCTGAAAAACACCTTCCAAACATCTATTTCAATAAAACAAGATCGACCAGTTAGCAGTTAGATAGGAGAAACAGTTGTAAGTGCCTTGCTTTGGAGCGCCACCAGTGGGGGGAAAGACCAAGCATTCTCTGAACGGCGGAGAATAGATGTGCAAAGACACTGCGGCCTGCACGATGGTTTGCAAAGCTCTTAGATCCACGTTTCCTTTGCAAGTGGTTGATCAACACTGGGACAATGCCTCTTCGTCACTGGGGTTCTCAATACGGTGAAGCCCCAAGGAGTCGTGCATAAAGCCTACCTCGAGCAGTTCTCCCACACGTGCAGTGTCTTAAAGTGGTTTAAATGTTGTCTGTGCAAAGCAAGTCATGAGAAATCTTATGCAAACGTGATTTATAGTAGAAACAAAAAGCTACTAGTAACAAGTGCATCGCTTCTAGTAGCAAGTGCCTTACTAGTAGTAACAATAAGAATACTTTAATTAGAATTAAGTGTCAAAATGGCCTCCTTGAATTTCTGTTGCACCCTTTTCAGCTGCAAGACTTGAAGCTTTCCTACACACCTTCCCCAGTCAGAGCTGAGGTGATCGTTGGGGCCTCCTTTGGCACTGCATACAAATACGAGATTTTGAACTGTCCAACAAGTTTTACCATTCTCTTCAAACAGGTCATGTTGGCAACATGTCGGTATGTTTGAATTTGAATGGAAGCCATGGACTTAATTTCGTGCCAAATGGACTGCAGCTTAGGTGAAACACCGGCCCCTGCAGGTGCAGTGCAAAAGAGCCGTAGGATGGTGTCGCTTGAGATTTGATTTGAAAAAAGAAAAGAGACGATAAATGAGTTGAATGAGTTAAATGATTTGCTGATGTTTAAATGAGATGCTCGCATTGCATCTAAAGTTGCCTCGGCATCTACTCAGCCACGAGGAGGACTATCAAGATACTGGATCGAAGATGAAGCTCCAGGCAACGCTAAACAGAAACCTCAGCAACAGGCTGGGGCGTATGTGGTCAAAGAGAATTGGCTTTACGAAGTGCTTTCAGCCAGAGCGACATTCGGTTTCCTTTCGGATACCTCCCAGTCCTTTTTGCTTTCCATTAGATATGGGTACCGGTCCTATATATAGATGGGATGAATATCCCAGTAAAATGCAACAGGCAGGAGGTCAAAGGACAGGTTTGTGGGAGGAAGCGTTGATTTTTAGAAGAGGAAAAGGCGTTGATGATGAGGAGGAGGCTGAAGAGCTTCCTACGGTTGATGCGGGTGAAAAAGCACAACAAGCATCACAAGAACAAAACTCGTGAAGCGATGGCCATGTTGATGAGTGGGTTGCTCTTGCCAAGATCCTGGCATGCCTGTCCACAAAAATTCCAACCAGTGAAAAGGCTGAAGCATCCTGGGTCTTCATATAAGTTTAAAATATACCCGTTTTGCACATATGCTTCAAATCGAGTCCCGCTATATGACATATCCAGAAGAGTTCCAGCTTTGTCGCACCTGTCCCAAAAGAGAATGCCAAGCCGCTGGCTACACTGAGGTAACTCACAACTTTCGGTTACACTGAAGAATGTTAAGATACCGCATCTGCCATCATCTGCCTATCTTGTGCAAGGGTCATAAGTCCCACAGCAGCACTCAGGCCGAAAGCAAAGCTGATCGCTCCAAGGTGCATCAGCCAAAGCATCACTATAGGCTGACTAGTTACCTTAGCCATAGGCTGACATGTTATCCCCGGTTTGTTCAATCCCCGCTGCTTAAAGTAAAAGCACGGTGACAAGTGAAGGCTGAGCACCTCACAAAGAAGGAAAACGCCATGGCAGGGCTGGTGATCATGAAGGCCAGCACAACCAGCCTTGTCAAAAGACAAAGACACCGTCCAGAAACCAAAAGGTTTTTGTCCTGGAATGTGAACATACCCACGGAGCATGTTCAACAGCACAAGTGGCAAGACTTGCTGCAGTGGAAATGGCCCCGCTGCCAACCTCAGCCACTCTCCATGGCTCAAAGAACCTCTAAGAACCTCTAACAAAACACAAAGCACAATCACCAAAACAAATTTTCTGGATTTTTCCTGCTTGTCGATACATCATATATGATTCTGTCATATTCCATATGTTCTTGAAAGACCGACAGAAAAAGATCTGAAAAAGAGCTGAATATCCATGGCACGTCCCCCGGACCGCGCTGGGGTCCAACCAGCTGGCACTCCCATCGGCACTGTAGAGGGGTTGATCGTCCGGAGCACCGGGGAGATCTCCCACCTTAGTGAAGAACACAAAATGCAAAAGAAACGAATAAAAGAGAAGACGAAGAGAACACGAAGAGTTTTCCGTTTCTGAAATGGGTTCTTTTGAGAAAACAAAGTAGGTAGCCTAATTGGCGAGCTCGGTTCTTCAAGGACGCTTTTGCGAACTTGTTCACAAAAATATAAACAAACATAGTCAATTTGTTCAATGCGTTTTAAACATCTAGAGACTTACATTTTAAGAAATTTAACAATGCTCTTTTTCTTCTAGCTTCATTTTTAATATGTTAATTCTCCAGGATTGGCGTAACACGTCCCATCGGCCAGTGGCCCAACCCAGGGGTTTGACCAATGGCTCGACATGACAGCAAACAACAAGCAATGACACATATTATATATGACAACACCAAACGAAACCACAACACACCGTGGCCCCGGGATATCCTACCAGTGTACCCGGGCGGGCAGCGATAGCTGAAAAGGAAATCCTCGCGGGACACCGCACTTTTGCCCGCTTTGGCAAGCAATTGTTGCTTTGCTGCGGTTGCTTTTTGCTTTGCTTTGGTTGAGTGGCTTTTAGTAGCTAAGATACAAAACGAAAGTACAAAAAGTATCCTAACCTGAAAAGTGAGGGGGCGAATGCCAACCCTCGCAGAGGGCAACATGTTTCACTCAAGAAGCTCCAACAAACCATCTGGGTCTCCAACACTCCCACACAGACCCCCTGATAAAAATGTTCAAAGATGCATCTGCCAGGTCTTATCGCTAGAACCTGCTTTTCGGAGGGGCGAACTTTGGTGCTAGCACCCACTTGCAGAGGTACTTTTCTTTTTGGTCCGAGGCAGCCCTCAAACACAACGCAAAGGGCACCAAAGCAGAAATGCGGCGTAGGGCCTTTCGTCGACTCTCCACATCTAGATCTCTGTAAACACGCCTTTACGCACCCGGTGACTCCACGAACTAAAACGAACATATTGCAAATTTGTAAATCATAACTCGTTAACATCCTGGAGCCGACAAATTTGCCAAAGCACTCGCCATCATGCCCAGTTGATGATGCAAAAAATGCTAGCATCAGTATCAACCGTTGTGGCATCGCTCGCACCACAAGTACCCTCATATAGCAACATGTTGTCCACCCATTCTTTGCTCTGTCGAAGTAGGCTCCTGCCTTGATCAACCCCCCCCCCACGATGTTTTGTTTTGATGCTTGTTTTACCTTGGACAGCCTTGGTTACCACAATGCACTCAAGCAAAGCAAAAAAACATACAAAAGAAGACGCCCAAAAGGTTTGGTAAGGCTCTTTTGAAGTAGGTCACTGCTAAACTAGGCTCTGATCTTGAGCCCTCCTTTGCAAAATAGGTGGTAAAGCAAACCTCTGGCACACTAGATCGGAACCGGGTTTGCATAACCCACATGGAAAACTAGATCTCTGGTAAAGTAGAGCCCTGTAAACATCTGTAAACCATATTTAGATCAGTTCACCATCCGGATCTCTGATTATAGTAGGCTAGATCTCTGGTGGACCGGTGCCAAACTAATTAGATCTCTGGTGGGCTACACTTCTGGTAAGGTAGATTCTTGGTGAGGTAGGTTGGCGCTACACTAAATGGTGCAGTAGACCTCTGGTGAATTAGATGGTGCACTAGATCTCTGGTAAGTTGGACCTTTGGTAAACTGAACCAGCCTAATTCCTGATTGAATTGATCCTCTGCCAAACTAGACTGCTGACTCAGATTTCTATATGTCTGGCGAAGTGTATCTCCGTAAACCATAAACGCTTCTTTAAGGCTTTGGCAGAACAGGTGGGCCAGCAAACTTCATGACCCTTACAGCACAAAAATTCCTCTCAAGATCTTCGACACGCTTGCACAAATTTTAAATGCTGGTCCCGAAGGAGGGCCTTTACTCGCCTGCTCTCTTGTTGTACGCACATGTTCAATCTTGGTGGCAAGGGGCCCCTCCTGCCTTGCTGTTCTGAAGTCCACTTGACTTATCGTGGCAAGTGCAGTGAGACATAAGCTTTCAACATCTAGCTCGTTTAGGGAAATTTGAGCTATCGCGCGAAAGCTTTCGCTTTGGCATCTTCAATGTGCGAAACGCACAGGCAGGACTGCGTGGTGTGAATCATGAAGTCCAGATTTCGTGGCAGGCAAAACACTTTGCGGACTACCAAGTGCAGATTTCGTGGCAGGCACATCTCTTTGTAAACCTTGAACTGTAGATTTTGTTGCAAGCGCAGCCCTTTTGTAAACCAGGAACTTCGTGAAAGGCCCAGCACTTTGTAAACCTCGACGTGTAGAACCAGCACGTGCAGTAGATTTCATAGCACGCGCAGCACTTCATGGCTGGCCAACTACGTTCAGTCTCGGTCATGTTCCTTCCTGCGCACAGCTCCTGCGCGGCTGGACACGGCACAAAAGTCACATTTCCTGCAGCCTTTCTTGTTCGCCTTTTCGACTTTGCTAGTAGTTACAGCAGAAACCCTACCACATGTCGTTCGAGCTTGTCATTTGAGCTTGATTTGTGAAGTTGTTGAGGGTGTGGACGAACTTGAAGCCCTTTTCGATTCGAGCGAGAAAAGAACTCACTGGGCGAGTTTGGTTGGTTATGAGCCCAACTGTTCGCGCTACTGTGCCGTGAAGCCATGTCCGAACCTACATCGGAAAGAACCCCGGATTCGAGTGGGCAAAGGGCGATAGAAGACATCAGGCCAGAGCATGGAGCCCTGGCCAGGCCGTCAGGCCCTCCAACCACCCTGGGTCCGCAGGTTCCCGTGAAACCATTCTGGAGCGAAACTCAGAGAGACGAAGCGATTTTGAGAGCCTGCAGGCCGTCGCATTTGCCTCGGGAGGTTCCTGAAGCTGGGGTGGGGCAGATGAATTCGGTGAGCCCGCCGCGCGAAGCTCCGGATGCAGTGCGGATGCGGCCCCGGGAACTATTAAGAAGAAGTGGTCAACGTCCAACCCGGAGTATGCCGAGATTGGAGCTGCGCCGATGCGTTTCCTGGGCATTGAAATCCAACGGCTGGAGGAGAATGGCACCTACTATTT